GGCGGCCGGGCTGTTGGCTGGGTGGCGGCTGTAGACAACAGGTGGAGGGTACCCGGAGGGCAGCCCCGGCCCGCCTGACTTATAAGGCGAAGACAGAGGAGTATCAAATGACTCTTTTGAAATTCTGAAAGTGTATTTTTTTTTTTAAAGTAAATGTTAGTTCTCTGGGATTAAAGAACTGGTCGGTGCCACTCCCCAGTAATGGGGACGGGGTGGGGAGACCCATCTAGGCAGATTCAGACAGCCTGGATGACTGTATGGCTGTCAAAGATAACCAGGGTTGTTGCAGAGGCTGCTGTTTATTACACTGATACACCTTGTGAACAAGCAACTTAATTCATCCATCAAATGCTTAAGCTTGTAGGGTAAATAGTCTTCCATATCTGTTAATAATAAATAAATGAAGTGTGTGAATTCCACTGCATAAGAAAGTATGTAAAGCTTGTTCCATGAAACTTTCTAGCTGATTTTCTTCAAAAAAAAAAAAGGCTTTAAAAGTTTAATGTTTCAGCTACTGTATCTTCTGTTATAGAGATATTACATGTACTTCTGCTGTGTGTTTTGAAATGCTCTTTTTCTTCCTTACAGGTTGTGTTCCGCTCAAAGGAATTAAATGATTGAAACTATAGAGACTTAAAATTTCTGCTTGTGAACAGTGAATATCAACATGGAGGTGTAGGCCCCTTAGAAGGGACTTCAGTCTGAACTCTGGGAGGTAGTTCTGTGCACAAATAAAGAAACTAACACATTTAAAAGTTGTTTTATCCAAGGATTCTGTTCACTTTATAAACATGGCATACGGAAAAAACATAATTAATCAATATAGAACATTAGGATGTCCCAATAAAAATCAGTTTATTTCTGTTAGATATGATAACTGTGTACTTGTAACTAAGGCACCAGGTTAAAACTGAAATGGTCAGTTCAATCTGTGCCAAGAATGCTATAGACAAGAAAGCCTGAGGCTGTTCCAGGCCTGTTGTTTAAGATCGTTCATCCTCATCATCGATAGTGTACAGGATTTATTTATCCTATAGCTGAATCCTTGGTATATGCAAGGTTGAGTTTAAACTGACCTTTTTTGGTCTTAACTGTTGTGATTATAAAAATATGCAGAAGCTGAGGTTTCTTGGCAGTGTAATATTAGTAGATATACCAGGTGATGTTCAGGGGCTCTTTTCTTAATGCCTTTTGAACTTAAACAATTATTTTCAGCCTCCTAATGAGATTTACAAACTTAAATCTTTACAGGTATATAAGCTGCATATTTATCAGATCTCTAGGATGAAATAACTTTTAAATTACTTAATGTTATAGTCAAAATTGTCAACTTGGTTGCCCCCTGTTTTAGTTTCTTTATTGAGGAAGGATTTTGATAAACCTACTTGAGGTTTTTTCCTCTCTGGACCCCACCTCTAGCAGCCTGCCTAATTGATATTGTTCTCCTAGATGTACAATAGAAGGAAAGCATGTGATGGATAATGCAAGGAAAAGTCTTTTTTAACATGCTTTCTGTAATATTTGTCAAATTGGAAATAGCTTTTGTACTGAAAGCAGTTGTAGACCAAAGTACAAGGAGAACTTCCCCACTGTTCAGAGGCTGTTAATCGTGCAACTACTCGTGTTTACATGTGCATTCAAAGATGCATATAAAAATAATCACTTGCAGGTTGTTATTTCTGTAGAGGCAGGGGTTACTTGGAGTTGCCTTTAATGCACACAACTACCTCCCAGAGGAAGACTTGTCCCATTCTTCCAAAAATAGTCCATTATGAACATAATGGAGAATAGCCCTTTCTTGGCTAACATGATGAAGCACAGTGCTCTATGTGATGAACTGAAGTATGATTTATCCTGTGAACTCTACCGAATGTCCACATTCTCTACTTTCCCTGTTAATGTGCCAGTGTCAGAACGGAGCCTTGCACGGGCTGGGTTTTACTACACTGGTGTGAAAGACACAGTTAAATGCTTCTGTTGTGGCTTAATGTTGGACAACTGGCAACCAGGAGATAATGCTATGGAAAAACACAAACAACTCTATCCTAGCTGCGATTTTATTCAGAACGTGCTTTCAGTTAACAACCTTGGGTTGTCCTCTCGTTCTGCCTTTTCACCTCTGGTCACAAGCAGTTTTTCACCATCTCTACATTCCATAAACTTCACTCAAAGTTTAGAGCAAGTTGGCTATTTCAGTGGCTCTTTTTCCAGTTTTCCTCAAGACCCCATAACTACTAGGGCTGTTGACCTCTCATGTTTGAGACCGAAGCTTTGCAATCCTTCCATGAGCACAGAAGATGCTAGACTACGCACTTTTCACTCATGGCCCCTGACGTTTCTCTCGCCCGCGGATCTGGCGAAGGCTGGATTTTATTACCTGGGGACAGCAGACAAAGTTGCCTGTTTTACCTGTGGTGGTCATCTGAGTAACTGGGAACCGAAAGATAATGCCATGTCGGAGCATCGGAGACACTTTCCTAAGTGCCCTTTTGTGGAAAATCTTACTCGAGACCAACTGAACTTCAATGTTTCTAATGTGAGCATGCAAACCCATGAAGCACGTGTTAAAACATTTATTAACTGGCCAACTAGAATTCCAGTTCAACCTAAACAGCTTGCAGATGCTGGTTTTTACTATGTAGGTAAGAAAAGCTGACCTCTGATGTAATTCATATTGTTATGTCAACATTTGTTTTTAAAATAACTTCTGTGAATGTTTGCTAGATATTTCATTCTTCTCCCCGCCCCCCTTTTTTCTTTAAAGGGCGCAATGATGATGTCAAGTGTTTTTGCTGTGATGGTGGGTTAAGGTGCTGGGAGTCTGGAGACGATCCATGGATTGAGCATGCAAAGTGGTTTCCAAGGTAACTTGAAAATCCTTATCAAACTTAATCTCGCTGGTTAAATAAAACTTTTGGCCTTGGCCGTTACATACGGCATAGCACTTGTTCTGTTTCTGTTTTAACTTCACCATATTATGTACAAATTCACTTCATTTGGGTGTATTTCGAGCATTTCTGTTTAAAAGCATTGAAGTGTTAAGGTGGCCTCAATGACTTTATAATTAAAAGCTGTATGCATCCCCAAGTCTTTGCTAGCAAGTGATGCTGCACTGTTGATGAGCATACTTAGATAAGGGAATCGATCAGAAAGGGGCTTTAGGGGAGCAAAAGCTACTGGGAAGTGAAGCAGAACAAACTTTGAACTTTACTGGTGTAGTTCTGCACCCACGTTGAATGCTCCTGAAATTGTCATTTGGCAAGTGTGGTTTAGTCTTCTAGGTGTGGAAGGGCTTGTGAAGGAGAAGATGCTGTTTATATCTCTGTTGGAAAAAAGTCAAACATAACTTCAGAATACACTTCCCCATAATTAAATGGCAGTTGCATATGTAATTGCTGTCTGTATATGGAAATCTCCACCTACATTAAAGATGGAAATAGCTGCATTTAATTTCAAGAAAGCTAATAATAATTCTTCATACCACAGATCTTTTAACAATCTTTAATAGATAAGTTATCAGCTTCTGTTGAGCTACATGATGCACGTAGACCTGAGGAACCTCTGTTTCCTTCTATGTTGTGCCTGTCAGTAAACATATTCAAGAGAATTCAGCATTAGTGAAGCGGATACGGTTCTGATGGTGTCACTTTGTATACTCTTTTGAGTGACTTGTGTAGGAGATAAAAAAATGGTGAGATTATGCGAGTGAGAAACAGTGAGTTTATCACTGTAGTCTGTAGTGAAGCTGACATAATTGCTTCTCTTTTTAGGCCATTTCAGTTAGAATTGGTAGTAGAATAGTAACTGCTACCTCTAAAGCTATTGGCTGCTGAACATAACAAGAGCTTTGTTGAAGCATTGTCTGGCATTAGGTGGCTTCAGGCTTCCAATGCAGAGAACTCTTCTGCTTCAGGAAAGGAAGAGAAACATGTATTTAAATTATACTGTGCTATTGTAAGGTGCTTCATTCTTGATTATTCTTGGAAGTGGAAAGTATAATTTAGTACGCTTCTCTTCAATGTTTCAGGTGTGAATATCTGCTTCATGTAAAAGGAAGAGAATTTGTAAGTCAAATTCAGGCCAGGTTCCCCCACCTTCTTGAACAGGTAAACTTTACTTTTATGCAACTGTTTGGTTTTTCCAGTTTGAAGAGTGATGTGTTCTTCTGGGGAGTTGGGTGCACCTTTCTGCCTAATATCTGTATAGATTTCTGTGTAACTGCTCTTTTTAGAGGAATGAAATTAAGGCTGAGCTATGCCTAAAGGAGCTGGAGCATTAGAACTTATGCTGTACAGGATTAGTCATGGAAAGTGTTTCATGAGAATTGATAGTTTAAAGTGGGTGGTATACTATTACAGTAATATAAGGGTTACAGCACTCTGTCATTTACAGACAAACCTTGTACTACTCATTCTGGGGCTGAGAGCCTCCTAGTCTCCTTGTCAGGAGACAAGGAAGTTCTGAAATAGCAATTAGTGGTCTTAATTACTCACTGGAACTTATGTAAATCAGAAGTCAGCCCTAGACAACTTTATTTGATTTTTCAGGAGGATAAAAAGGACACAAATTTCCTGGACTGAGAAGCAAAAAAAAAAAAAAAATCCAAACAAACTTAACCATAGCTTTTCTGGCAAGAGGAAGCTGAGTGAATAAATGTGACTGAGAAAAGCTGCTCCTCATAGAAGTAAGCACTGAATCTATATCTGTTTTGTAGTAATGCAAATTGTTAGACTTATGTAACTCTGTGCAAAGTGCTAAGGTTTTTATCTAAATAGTATTTGTTAAGTATGTTTGAGGGAAGAAATGCTCTAGAAAGCTATGTAGAGAGGAAAGGCATACTTTGATACTAATGCAGTTCCATTATGTTCAACAGCTGTTGTCGACCTCTGATATACCTGTGGATGAAAACGTTGATCCCCCAAGTACGTATATCAGTATAATTTGAAACGCATGTTTTAAGACTTAACACTTGGCTATCCAAAACTACCTCTTGACAACTGAGTTTCTTGAAAACAGCAATATTCTTAACAATTATGTAGCTTTAGCATTATATGGACAAACTTCAGGGAAGCTTGTAAGAGATGCTGTTATAGAAATAAGGAAAACAAGACACAGCATCTCATTAAGATTTTTGGTTTTGAAGATTTGCCATCTGCTATGTTTTGTTACGTTCGTGGTGGGTTAAGCAGAACAAGTCTGGTTGGCGTTTGCCAAATTGACCTAAGGTATTGAACTTTCTGGAGCACTTGCTCCACAAAGGTGAAGGGTGTCAATATGCATGTCATGCAGCTCCATTTTAGGTACATAGCTAAGTACATATTCTCTGAGCTGCAGTTGGGGAAAGGGTAGGACAAGCAGGTTAAGTGAAGTCTTTCTCCATGTTCCCTTCTGAGAGTGGAAGCCTAGTTGTGGTGGCAGTATACTCTGAAAGAGTGAGTAGGTCACAGTAGTAGGTTACATGCTGATCTAGAGCAGTGAGTCAGACTCTCATATGCCTGCGACATAGTAAGCTGAATGGAAAACATTGATCGAGAGCTGGAATAGAACAGTTCTGGTTGCATAGCAGGCAACTCAAAATTAAGAGCTTGTTATCAAAAGAGAAAAATTTCAAGGCTGCAGTTACAAGTTTTCTGACTATTTAAAAAAGCTAAGACACAAGGGAATCCTGTCCTTTTTCTGGCTTATCCTTGATTTTTTTTTTTTTTTTTTAGTGAAGGCTTAGCACAGAGCAAGGCTTTGCTTCGATTCCATTTGATTGCATTGGTTTCCTTTTAAAAACTAGGTACTAAAAAAGCCTGTTTAACCATTGAACTTGCACAATACCTAGCATTAGAAAACGAGTGTATTTATGTGTGTGTATGTAGGTAAAGTTGAATGTGTCTGACTTCTGGGTTGTATGTGGTTTCTTGTTTCTGTTAACTTAGTACTGCTTTTCTTTGATTAGTTATTCATTTTGAACCTGGAGAAAGTCATTCAGAAGATGCAATTATGATGAACACACCTGTGGTTAAAGCTGCCTTGGAAATGGGATTTAGTAGAAGGCTAATAAAGCAAACAGTGCAAAGTAAAATCTTGGCCACTGGAGAAAACTACAAGACTGTTAATGATCTTGTGTCTGATCTGCTCACTGCTGAAGATGAGAAGAGGGAAGAGGAGAAAGAGAGGCAGTCTGAAGAAGTGGCATCCGGTATGCTTAGGGCATGAATAAAACCAGAAATGGCTTGTATACTTCTGCTTTTTGGCTTCTTAAAATTCTTCTTATTCACTAAGTGATTTAATATACTTCTTGCTAGGATGAGCTTTTATAAAAACTTTGCCTGGGTATGTGCATGGAACTAGATCAGTCCGGCAGCTCCCTTTGAGAAGGATGGTTCATACAGGTGCCAAGTGTTCAGACCCACCTGATTATCTCCACAGAAACAAAGTCACTTTTTTTGTCTGGGTGCCTTTATTGCCATGTATCAAAAATAAATGGGACAGAGACTTTACCTAGCACACCACTCTCTTTTTTTTTTTTTTTTTTTAAACAAACTTACTCCCCTTTTATGGAGCTTCAATTGATGAACCAACGTAACCACTTCCTGGAAGAGGCCATAAACTTTCACACATTTCTTCTGTAAGATGACAAGAGGTCAGCTTCTCTCTATCCAACTCATAACCATATAGATCAACTGATTAACACTCATTACTTGATGCATCTTTAACATTTGCTATTGTTTTAGGACCATATAAGTGTCTTATTTTGATGCTTAAAAACCCAAATTCTTGACTGTGAAGTGGTAATGAAACTTCTCAATTACAAATTGAATTAAATGGCTTCTTTCCTACATTTGTATTGTGTCACAGAAATGGAGATGTTTGACCATTAAACCTTTAAGAATGATTTTTCTTGTGTGACTCTACAAAATTCAGGGAGTTTTTTTAGTTGTGCTGTACCTCTGGTTTTTCTTGCACATAATTCTCTTGGACTCTTCTTAAAGTAAGCTTGATCTGTCTATCTCAGCAATGTTTTTGGCTGCCACTGACTGAAGTTAATCTAATAATTTTCAGCAAGCTAGCTGTGGTGTTATGCAGAAGCTTCTTTTTTTTTATAGTTCTGCAGAGAACATAACTCTTGCTTGTGTTAAGTTGGACAAGATCCTCTCACTAGTTCATTTAGAGAGGGGGAACACAGGCTTTCATTGGTGAAAGGACTTTAGCTTCTAAACTGTTATGTGGTTTAAGTTCATTCTTGCATGTAAATACCAGTAAAACTATGGAGGCCTATTAATGATGTGTAGTAAGTGAAAAGTTCAAGGAGAACTTAATGTGTCAGTTATTGTTAAGTAGAAATGCAGCTTGGAGTACTATATTCCTAATGAACATCTAATCTGCTTTGCATTTCAGATGACTTGTCCTTAATCCGGAAAAATCGAATGGCTTTATTCCAACGTTTGACATGTGTACTTCCAATCCTTGAGAGTTTACTATCTGCTAAAGTGATAAGTGAACTTGAGCATGATGTTATTAAGCAAAAGACTCAGACACCGTTGCAAGCAAGGGAGCTGATAGATACGGTCTTAGTGAAAGGAAATGCAGCGGCCAGCATATTCAGAAACTGTCTACGAGACCGTGACCCTTTACTATACAAAGATTTATTTGGTATGTCTCTTTTTGATAAACTGACTTTTTTTTAAAAGTCTAATCAGCATGTCAGGGTAGCATAAAGATGAAAAACTGGATTCTGTTGGAATATAGATTAGCCAATTGACTAATGTTCTTTTCCTCTTATTTTAGTGGAGAAGAGTGTGAAGTATGTTCCCACAGAAGATGTTTCAGGTATCTTAAATTCCCCTCTCTTACCTCAAAGGGTGTTGTGGGACAATAGCCGACATTCTTTTTTAACAAAACAAACAAACAAAAACCTCCTTGTATTAAGAAAAGAGTTTTGTTTTACCCCATCCCTAACTTTAGCTTTAGGAAGCTGAGCTTATCTGTATAAGTTAAACTTGCAAGCAAGTCTGCACATGCACTTGTTTGCCATAAGCTATGTTCTGTGCCATATGCAGGTGCTTTGACACTAAGGAAGTATAGCTTCCTGAAGCTTGAATTCAAGTACATTCAGATTTTTATCCTGGATATGAGCTCTCATTCAGGCATTCTGTGGAGATCTTCACTTTTCCCAAGTGAACTGTGGGAATCCTAAGATCTAGCTGGGCCAACAGCTGGATGGGCAAAGCTTGTCAGCCATCAGATTGACTTTGCTCCAGTCTTTTCTCGCTCTTGGAGTATAAGTGTATTTGAAGCGTAATATGTTAATAGACTGCAATAAAGTATACAAGCTGACTTCTACTAATCAGACTGTACTCTGTACTTCTAATAGCCAAACAAGAAAAGTACAGTATATGCTGAAATACAGAACCTTAGTTCAAGAACTATAGCTGGCCTCCAATCCCTGAGGTGCCTCCTTGCCTTACAGAAGTAAGGACTAGGTGGTTCCTTGCATGCCACTTCTCTAGCTCCGGAAAATGTACTTATTGTCACTGCAATCTAGAATTATGGAATACAGCTAGGAAGTAAGGTGTGGCATTAGAATGGAATTTGACCACTTTCTAATAGAAATGCACATGTGTTCAAGTTTCTTAATGTTAAATCACTTTTTACAGGTTTACCTATGGAAGAACAATTAAGGAGACTACAAGAAGAAAGAACATGTAAAGTTTGCATGGATAAAGAAGTTTCCATTGTTTTCATTCCTTGTGGTCACTTAGTGGTGTGCAAAGAATGTGCACCTTCTCTTAGGAAATGCCCTATTTGCAGGGGGACAATCAAGGGTACAGTGCGTACTTTTCTTTCGTAAGGAAGGGGAAGCTTGCATTTGCGAAATAATACCTTTGTTCCTGCCGTTGTCCCAAGTGCTAAAGTTTTAGTCACTGATGTCTTAAGAATGGAAAACTGTGGTACTGAAGATTAATCAACTACTTAGTTTACTAGTACACAACTGTGCTATATTGTCATTATTGAATATACTAGGTCTTCCTTGCCAAATATGATTTTTGTATGAAAGACTGACTAAATACTAAGGTGAGGCTTTCAGTAGCTTTTCTCCCTAAATAGGGAAAGCAGTTCCATAAGTATGCCTCTATGACAGTTTGATTAAAAAGTATTTTCTGGTCATATCTGAAAATGGAACTTGGTATACCTATTTTATGAGTTCTCCTCCACATAAATGTGAAGAAATTTAGCTGAGATTGTTTATTAATAGTAAACTTCAGCTACTGTTCTGGTTCATTATTGGCTTTCTTGTGGGGTTGGGAGAGGTAAGATAGGTTAACTGTTGCAGGAACAGCAACCTTTTTTAAGTCCTGGTCATGTCTGCAGTTTTGTGTAGTATGTATTAATAATAGTTTATATGGAGACAATTAAAATATTTTTACTTTCCAAGTGAGTGCTTGTTTATTCTCAGTTGTTCTTTAACTTTTCTCTCTAGGCTACAGCAACTAGAAAATGCTGTTTTCCTTGCATAAGATTTTTAACTTTGACAGGACAAGCATAATTATGTTTTAATTCTGCTTAGATGTTCTATTAATTTTGAACAGGGAAGTAGACTTCTTGGAGCTTGGTGGATTGAGAACTGGCTAGATGGCCGAGCTCAGAGGGCTGTGGTCAGTGGTGCAGAGTCAAGTTGGAGGCCTGTAGCTAGCAGGGTTCCGCAGGGGTCAGTCCTGGGTCCAGTCTTGTTCAATATATTCATCAATGACCTGGAGGAAGGGACAGAGTGCACCCTCAGCAAGTTTGCTGATGAGACTAAACTGGGAGGACTGGCTGACACACCAGAGGGCTGTGCTGCCCTTCAGAGGGACCTGGACAGGCTGGAGAGCTGGGTGGAGAGGAACCTCATGAAGTTCAACAAAGGCAAGTGCAAGGTCCTGCACCTAGGCAGGAATAACCCCAGGCACCAGTGCAGGCTGGGGGTTGACCTGCTGGAAAGCAGCTCTGC